CTTTTGCAGCTTGGCTGGAAAGAAACCTACTGCCACCGTGCCCAGTTCCTCATGTCTGCAGACGATGACGTCTTTGTCCACATTCCCAACTTAATTCACTTCTTGCAAGGGATTGGCCGGAGTAACGGCAAAAACCTTTGGATAGGAAGGGTGCACCGTGGTTCACCACCCGTCCGAGACAAAGAAAGCAAGTACTACGTGTCCCAAGACTTGTACCCATGGTTGTCTTACCCAGACTACACCCCTGGCTCTGGATATGTCCTCTCCAGAGATGTGGCTACCAAAATCTATCAAGCTGCACTCACCATAAACGCTTCCTTTCACATTGATGACGTCTTCCTCGGGATCTGCGCCAAAGTGATAGATATTGCTCCCAAGGACCATGCATTCTTTTCGGGAGAGGGAAAAGCTCCTTATCACCCTTGTATCTACAACCAGATGATGTCTTCACATGGACACGTCAGCGATATCCGGGAAATGTGGAAGCGTGTAACAGAAGCTGAAGCTGGTCAGATACCCTCAGGACTGATTTGGAGGCTCTACTGCACTGTCGCGAAAGTGAGGCTTCTATGTGTACCATTTCTTTCAAACACTTACCCGTGTAAAGCAGCTTTTTTTTGAATACGACAGTTATTAAAATGGAAAATAACTCATATATATATACATATATGTGTGTGTGTATGTATATAGAAGTCAGATTACTATTATTAACTTTGTACTGTATTGCAAAGGACTAGTACGTTAGATTGGCTCGGTAAGGAATTCAGTGGTGTGTTCCGAGAAATAAAAAAGTAATTTACTGCAATTACCATTAAATAAAATTGAAAATTGAGAAGAAACTAAATGAAAGCACAGTCTTCACTATGCAACATGTAAGTCATATTCAATGAAAAAGTTTAGGTCAACTCAAAGTCATCGGTAGCACTACTGGATAATGAAAAATCAATAAATCTGTTATCTTGGGAAGCAAATGATCAGCATGCACTTCATAGGTTCCTGCATTAAGCTGATTTGCCATCAAATTAATTTGGCTTTCTTCTGTTTATATCTGGTTTTACTTGCATGTATATTGTATGTATATACTGTATTTATATTTCTCTTCCATTCTGTCTGTTTTAACAGCAGATATCAAATTTTGTCTTACAACTATCAGCTGAAAACACTCAAATTCAAAATGATCAGTTTAGAACGGATATTTCACCTAAATGTAGAGAAATTTAAAGAGTTTACAACAGAGCAGAGTTTAGATTGACAATCAAAGGTTGACTAAAAAGAGATGGCACCCAGTTACATTAAATACATCCATTCTCTGAACCACTTGCCCTATGTAGAGTTGGCATGAATTGATGGCCAGTCCATTGCAGGTCTGATTGAAAACAGGAAATATACTGTATATATATATATATATATATATATAATAAGTCTAGGTTACACTTTTCTTTGTTTAATAGTGCTTAGAAATATTACCCCTTTACAAAGCCACATACCATATTTGGATTGATTTTGACATAAAGATCAGTAATGTCATGTAGCGCCGTTGCGCTTCGGGCATCCCGAGTTCGAGTCCCGGCTCGCGGACCTTTCCCGATCCCACCCCCTTCTCTCTCACCCACTTCGCTTCCTGTCGACTGTCCTATCTAAATAAAATGCATAAAAAAAAAAGATCCTAAAACATTCTTCTGTCATGCCACATATTACACTCTCTAGATCGACACCAGTCTCTGTTGAAGCCTATCATCCCATGCATCGTTACTCTGTTAATGATTAAACTGTTACCTGTACAAGGTGTGGTTTTGCATACTTTACCAGAGAGCGGAATATTTTTCTGCACTTTGGTCTTCAAGTGTGCTACCTTTGAAGCAGATTAAAATTTTACCTCTCCAGAATATTTATAAAAGGCAGCTTGTATTTTTAATTAAACTTAATTTGACTATGCTCCGCCTGTTTTTGGCATATACACCTTATTGGACTGGTATAAAATAATTCCTGCTACAATTTCTTGTATCAGAATTATTTTTTGAATACAATAAGCACAATCAATGGTTAACAATGAAAACAGAGGTCAGGGATCGTGGCATATACAAGGAATCATATCAGTGGTATTCGATTGCAAACATGAATGAACAATGTCTAAATCTTGTTTGATTTGAATGAGGCGAGCCAGTTTTTGTTCTTTTAGTGGACTAGTTTGGCTTTACTAGACATCTCAAGGCTTAGGACTATGTGTGATCATGTGTCTTCAGTTGCCACACAGGAAAATGGGCAGATTTGCGAAACATGAATAAAATAGAAGACAATGAATTTGGATTACTACTAGTTGGGTAACCTTTTATTTTTAGATGTATAACCACAGTAGGAATATATTACCATATTGTAATAATTTCTTTTAATGTAATTTCTTTTAAAGGGGACATATGATGTGATTTAAATTTTTCCTTTTTCTTTGAAGTGTTACAAGCTCTTGGTGCATAAAGAAGATCTGTAAAGTTGCAAAGACTAAAGTCTAAAATCCAAAGAGATATTCTTTATAAAAGTTAAGAGTCAACCATGCCCTCCTAAAACGGCTCGTTCTAACACGCCCCCACGTCTACGTCACGATGTGGGAAGATTTGCATAACGCTGCCCAAATGTTCACGCAAAGAAAGGCGGCGTAACTTTTAATCTCGCTGTAGTATTGTTGCCGCCGCCACCATGTCGTGGAGATGCGACGTTTCATCACATGTGGTTGCCGCAAGCCCGCCGGACGCTCCTTCATCGAATCCACCGGTCGCGCCGTTCTCAAGCCCGTCGGCCGTTCCTCACTCAAGGCCGCCGTGTGTTTCGTTGTGAAAGCGAAACTACTTTGTTTGGCCTGGTATAAAATAATTCCTGCTACAATTTCTTGTATCAGAATAATTTTTTGAATACAATAAGCACAATTAATGGTTAACAATGAAAACAGAGGTCAGGAATCATATCAGTGGTATTCGATTGCAAATCCTCAAGCAAACATGAAAGAACAATGTCTAAATCTTGGTGTTTGATTTGAATGAGGCGAGCGACAGTTTTTGTTCTTTTAGTGGACTAGTTTGGCTTTACTAGACATCTCAAGGCTTAGGACTATGTGTGATCATGTGTCTTCAGTTGCCACACAGGAAAATGGGCAGATTTGCATTTCAAATTTACTCAACAGAAGACGTTTGAAATTACAAACCTGAAACTTTGAAGGCACAAATTACTTTCCGGAGAAAGGTAAATTTTTTAAATGCCATGCCAAGGTTCTACAGCTATTTTCATGGTAAAATCCAAGTTAGAAAAAAAAAAAAAAAACCCTACACAAGAAGTTTGAAAGCCATTTTTAAATAAATACTCTGGACTGACTGATAATCTTTACAAAGTACAGGAAATAATTTAAGTCAGTCTCATTCAACATTTGTCAATTTACCATAAAAGTTTGTGATTTCTTTCTTCACAGTTCATGAATGTTTTCATAGTACTGAATCTTCTTACAACAAATCACTGTTTAGTTAATTTGTCCCAACGCTTGTAACTTTGTTCCTAATTTTATTACAATTTACTTGTCTTGGAAAAATTGCTTACACTTACAATGCAATTTCAGCAATAAATGTTAATTTTTCTAAAAAGAAAACAAATTAGTTTATTTTAAGAGATCTACCTTATTATCTCTTGTATATTTAGTATTGCTTTTTAATAATGAAATTACTTCTTATCCGATTACTCGATGGAATAATCCATTGAATACTCGATTACTAAAATAATCGATAGCTACAGCCCTAGACTAAAGTCTCAAATCCAAAGAGATATTCTTTATAAAAGTCAACCACGCCTATCTAAAATGGCTCGTTCTAACACGCCCTCACATGTCTCCATCACGATGCTGGAAGATTTGCATAACGCCGCCCAAATGTTCACGCAAAGGCAGCGTAATTTTTATTCTCGCTGTAGTTTTGTTGTTGCCGCCGCCATGTCGTGAAGGCGCTGTGTTTCTCGTTGTGAAAGCGAAACTACTTTGTTTGGCCTTCCAAAAGAGGTTATGCCTTCGTAATGCGTATAGCTGATCCGTGCTGGTCGCTGAGGAAATACATCAACTTCGCGCTGTGGATCGCCAGATCGGCTTTCACCGTGGACGAAGCGGAGTCCAGCCCGGGGTCGTCACATGTGGTTGCCGCAAGCCTGCCGGGACGCTCCTTCGTCGAATCCGCCAGCCACGCCATTCTCAAGCCCGTCGGCTGTTCCTCACTCTAGGCCGCCGTTTGTGACGCTGTGTTTCGTTTTGAAAGCTAAACTACTTTGTTTGGCCTTCCAAAAGAGGACACAACTAGAAATCAGTGGTTAAGTTGTATTTACAACACTGTTCCAGAACACTTCAACCCAAATATTCAGATGTGTGCTGCACATTTTATGGAGGATGAGGCTGTTTCCTGAACCAGTAGCCTACAATGCATCTGTGGCACAAAGGCTGTTTCTATAAAGTTGGGCAGGTCCAACTTTGCAAGGACAGTCTGGCGCTTCTGACTCACAGCCTGTAAGTACGTTTTTTTATATTTAAAGAATTTGCCACTGACGATTCAAACGAGAGTTTTGAGCAGTGTAATGTAGCACTTGTTGTTTGTCGTTTCTCCAGACATGGTTTTATGTTTACGCAATGCGTAAAAAGACAGTGCAAGTCATTATAATCTGTAATTATGTCCCCACTGGATGCAACAAATTCCTCGTTTGTAATGGGTTTTATTGTTTTTGTCTTGTCGCGCCGGGACACAGGGCATCACAATATGGTAAGGGGCGTAACATTTCCGTCACACGCTTGAGGTATTCGGCCAATCACAACGCACTGGATAGCTGGCCAATCAGCATACACCTCTCTTTTCAGAACAATGAGCTTTGTAAAAATCGACACGTTTCAGAACGGCGGGGCACAGAGGAGCAACAATAATGTACATTGTGGAAAATAATTTTTTTTTAACCTTAAATCGCATAAACACATTGCATTACACCAAATACACAACGTTCTTTTTAGCAACGTCATATGACCCCTTTAATTTACAAATTGATGGTTAAAAAAAAGCACCCTTTCAGAAATTCTGTAAATAACAGCCCTACTCACCAGCAAATCTGTGGTTATGAGCACTCTGCTAGAGCCAGACCTGAACTCTCTCATGATTACGTCTCGCTCCTTCTGATCCATATCTCCATGCTGAAAAACAGAGAGACTGCTTTAACCTATGCAAGACCTCACAAACGTCATGCTGGCTTAGAAACTCTGGACAAGTACGATCAGTTATGTTTAGAAACAAATCTCTCCATGAGAAGTCAGTCCCGAAAGATGGTAGACCATCATTTCATACTTTATCCAGCATTAAACACCATAATGTGCAATATGTCTCTTAGATCAATCACTGGCCTACCATTAACTATAGTAACCTGTTAACTTTATCAATTTAGCACATATCATATGTACATCAGCTTACCAGAGCAGACACAGTGAAATCTCTGGCATGCATCTTCTCGGTCAGCCAGTCAACCTTTCTTCTCGTGTTCAAGAAGATAACAGCCTGGGTGATTGTAAGGGTCTCGTAGAGGTCACACAGCGTGTCCAACTTCCACTCCTACAGATAAGTGAATTAGCATTAGCGGAGTCATCCTACATCAATATCCTGAGTTCATGAAATGTAAGGCACAAAATCTCTAGATCTTGGACACCAGACATTAAGAAAGAGGTCTGCCCTAGACTCATTGCTTTTGCTCTTCCTTCTTTAAGATTAACCAGTACTAGCATAAACACCAGAGCAAGGCCCGAAGGCCTTGAGCTGGCGATTTTAGCACGGTGCTTTTAAAAGAAGGGACATGAGACATTAAAAAGAGACAACCAGTGTCTCACCTCTCGTTCTACATTGATGTAAAACTGCTTAATACCCTCCAGAGTCAGCTCCTCCTTTTTCACCAGGATGCGAATAGGTTCACGCATGAACTTGGTGGTCACCTCCAGCACATCAGCGGGCATGGTGGCCGAAAGCAGCACAACCTGGTAACATGACACTGTTAGAGCATCGACAAAAACAAACAGAGATGGGTCAATTCAGAAAATGCTAATGAAGGATTTTGCATTAAATATAACAGGTAATGGGGAAATTTTGTCAGCATAACTGTGAGGAAAATAAACTGAAGTACTTGATTTGCACCCTTTTGCTTTAATGACAGCAGCACCTGAGCGGCATGAACTCAGAGTTTGGGTAACATGTGATGCTTGGGTTCTTCAGCAAGATTTGAAAATTTTATGAGAATCTTGTGCAATGGATGCAAGAACATTTGACTTTATAAAAAAAAAAAAAAAAAAAAAAAAAAAAAAACACAAATCTGACGAGTGACCTGAAAATAGCACAGAACGTCTCCAGTTTGACAAGACATGATTTTAAATGTTTTCGAACGTTTAAGTTACAGATTTTCAATATGGTAACAAAGATTTCTTCCAGTTGAAAACTGATGTATTGTTGCTCTGGACCTTGAAACATAAGCCACTGGACATTAAGAAAGAGGTCCGACTCAGTTTCATTTCCGGTGCAGGGCTACTGCTTTTCATCCACATGATACTCTGCTAGCATCATTGAGTAAACCAGGAGAACCTGGAATCCACAATTTTAGCACCGTTCTTTTGAGTGGAAGACACCTCCATTTAGAGTCTGAGATCAAGACATTGACTTACTTGGATGTTTGTGCTTAATTTCTGGAAAATCTCATAGATTTGATCCTTGAACCCACGGCTCAGCATTTCATCGGCCTCATCAAGGACAAACATCTTGATCCATTTGGGAGCTTTTTAAAAAAAAAAAAAAAAACTTTGTAATTCAAATCCTTACTAAACTGTTAAAGCATGACGGTCAAATGTATGATCAGTTAAGTTGTAAATATCTTCATAATAGGTCAGTCCCGAAAGATGATACCATCACGTCATACTTCATCCCAACTGGGCCTGCATGTTTTAGCCTAATTTATTTGCATTCACTACTTACACAGGTATCTCCTGTTCAGCATGTCAAACACACGGCCTGGCGTGCCAACGACGATGTGTGGAGCCTCTGCCTGGAGTTTTTGCATTTCATTCCGCACGTTGGTGCCTCCAATGCAAGCATGGCAAGAAGCGCCCATGTAGTCACCCAAGGCCAGGATAACCTTCTGAATCTAGAGAACAGAGAAAAACAGATGGGGCTTATAATAAAAGGAATGCTTCATATCCTCAAATACTGAAGTTTGATAGTCACAGTGCACTAATAAAGCCAAATATACAAGTATGATCAGTTGAAAAGGTCATCTCAAGTCAGTCCCAAAAGACAGTATACCATCTCACTTTTGTCCACAGCTTCTTTTTGCTACAATCATCCCATGGAACCCCTCCTGGCAGTCCAACAACCAAACCATTAACTAAAATCTCATTTCCAACCACTTACAGTAAATACTCCTGTACTCCAGAAAATTATTCTGGCTGAAGCACTACCTAATTACTTCCTGCCGACTAGCCCATAAAATTACACAAATTAAAAAAATATCCACATTTAATGACTGATGGAGCAGGAAGAACAGCGAAAGAGTACCTTGAATCGGGCTACTGCCAGAATATGCCGCCTTGGTCTGAGACACTAAGTTTATGGTGACCTCAGGTACAGCATACCTGCTGAGCGAGCTCTCGGGTTGGTGCCAGGACCAGAGCCTGAGTCTCTTTCTGCTCAATCTCCAACTGCTGCAGGATGGAAATGGCAAACGTGGCCGTTTTACCAGTGCCTGACTGGGCCTGAGCGATAACGTCATATCCTATGGAGAAATAAAGGATCAATTCACACTAATGCGCAACACATACTATCAGTTTAACATAAGCAGAGACTCACACTTGAATTTAACTAGACCACAAACTAATATACAGAAAGCAAATTGTGTACAGTAGTGTTGTCACGGTACTAAAAGTTCAGTATTCGGTACGAATACCAGTGAAATCCACAATTCTCGGTACCAATTTCGTTATCAAAGCAAAACACAAAAACATGCTAATTAAAAATGTGACTACTTTTATTCCAAACGGTGTACATGTTTAATTTTAAAGGGCTTTTAAAACCTTCTAGAGTTATTCAGCTAAGAATAACAACTAAGTTACCTTAAAAAAAAAGAAAAAAAAAGCCCAGACCTGTTTTTCTGACGGACTGATGTGACACAATGTTAACCATTTGTACATTCTCTAACACGCATATTTTAGATTTGCAATTAATTTAAAAGCCTCTGGTGTGTAAAAAGAGTAAATCTAATCATGTCCTTTTTTATAATCAAGCCCTTTAGTTTTTTTTTTACCCTAATAAAAGTTAGGGGAGCATTAAATAAAGAAACTTCATTCTAATGCTCATTATATTAGCGATAGCCGCGCTTATGCTAACGATTAACTACTCTAACAACAATGTTCATTTCAATCAGACATTAAAATTAAAATATTGAATAATATTCATAACGGAAGCGGTGTTTCCCACAGACTTGCACTCTATTTGTGGCGGCATATCTATGCAAATTCATTCTCTGCCAGCAGGAGGCGCTTGTAGAGCGGGAGAGATAGAGGTTTTCCCCAGTAAAGGCTGTAATCAAATAAGCCTGTGCTCACAAACACTGCTTTATCAGGCATTACATGCAAGATGGAATGAAACTGACATCCATAATTTTCAGATGACAGTCGATTTCCTTCAGAAATACAGTGATATAAAAACACCCGCACCGGGTTTCGACTTTGACACATGCAGTGCTCATGTTTATTCAATTAAAGCCTTTTGGAAAATCTATTTGTGGTGGTCAGTTTTGATATTGTGGCAGCCGTATGGGAAATACTGAGAAGTGTTTTTTATCTAAATATAAAAAATTGAAATGAAACTTACCTGCTTGAACTCTTTGATGCGTTACCTCATTTTGAGGTCAACATGTCTCTTTGCTTTTATGTGCGCAGATGCGCTCTCTTCGTAAAAGCACATTTCGAATAGCGCATCAAGAACCGGGTTGACCGTGTACTCTGTACCACCGGTACTTAAAAAAAAAAAACCTGGTACCGTAACGTTTACATTTTTGTTTGTACCGACTTGGTACCGAAGTACCGGGTCTTTTGACAACACTAGGGTACAGGTAATCTTGTTTATTAAAAAAAAAAGCATGTCAAGCATATGCTGAACGTAACTTGTTTGTACCTTTTATGCAAGGAATTATAGCTCTCTGCTGGATTGCTGAGGGTTTCTCAAAACCATAGGCATAAATTCCACGAAGGAGAGTTTCCTTCAGGTTCATGTCATCAAAATTGTCCGTAATCTCGTTCCAGTTGCTCTGTAAAATGAGGAGTATGAGAGATCGCATTTAATACACTCAACTCACCAAGTACAGACAATATCCTTACTGTAAGCTGATGGGAAGGGGTAACATGCAGCCTTTAAAATCACGTCAGACAATGAGCACACATGAAAAGCATGCAATATTGAAATTTCAATTGAGGATTTTCAAGAAAGCCCCTTCTTTCTGTAATGGGTCATGTCAATGAAAGAATTGGTCACAAGTTTTAAATGGGAACAAACAGGGCTTTTGCTGCCTTCACATGCTATCAGAAATTTCCTACTTACCAATTTTGAAGTCAAAATTAGGAGTATGTTGCATTCAAGTGTTTGTAGTTGGAAATAATAGGAAACATTGGACACCAGTGTGGCCATTGCATAAAATGCTTAAACTAGATTTAATAGCTAGTAATTTAACTTTTTTTCCTTTAAGACTGGTCATAATTTCAAGGCAGTTACAATCATGTAAATTGGTCTAATTTGAATCTGAAAAGAAAGCCTCATTCCCCCTTGGCGAACAGCAAGTGGGTCAGACTTGTTCTTAAGACACAGTACTAACATAAATGCTGAGTTTCATGCAACTGCCTGGATCATTTTCACCCATTTCCTGGGGAAAATCTTAAAGCTAAAATTCTTTACAGATATCAATCAATACCAAATAAATTCTGAAAATGAATAAACATTCATTGACAACCATATTATCATTACCAGTTCTGTTGTATTCATTCACCCTTATCTGAATACTTTGCGGACATATCTGAAACTTCAGTAAAATAAATTGCGCCATTTTCACTGTGTAATATTCATAATACATGCACCCAAAAGTTATTTATACATTTATGAATGACCATGAAGGAGACAGAGCTAGGGCTGCATCATTTATCAAAATTAAATCGCAAAAGGCGATAAATCGCGATTAGGCAGAAGCTGCGATTGTCATGCGTATCTTTCAGTGAAGCACGGTTCTGTGATCAGCAGTAAATCTCCATCCGAAGGCCAGAGGGCGCTCTCGCGCTGAAACTCCAAATAGGCCTTGCAGAAGAAACCCAGGAAATCCCTATAGCAGTTGCGGAATAAACAGGTTTAACTGCTTTCATCGATTCAACGTGACTAATAAACACACGACTACGACAATATATGGTTCATCTGAGTTAGTCTTACAATTTTTATTATAATAAAGTACATAATGCACCGCTAATTGACATTAGCCTTTATCACTGCTTAGAATCCTATGAGATGTTGCGTGCCTTATTCTGTGCAAGAAACCACATCATCTCACAGAATTTCAAACACTCATCTAACATTATGAAGTGAGATTGGAATAAAAACATGTTATTAAATGTCGTATTTTCACGTGCTTTCAGATGGAACAGCATTTACTACAGAGCCGTAGTTCACCGACAAGCTACGCAAACAGCTTTTATAATCGCAGAATGATTTCTTCAATTTCATAACCGCGCGATTAAATCGTCTGCGATTATGAACGCAATTTTGCGTAGCTTGTCGGTGAACTATGGCTCTTCATAGTAAATACAGCTCAATGCTTTACTGACAAGATGCACATGACAATTGCACTCGACTAATCGTGCAGCCCTAGAGAGAGCTCAATGTAGATGTGGTGGGAAAAACTAATAAAACTAATGTCACCGTAGCAACAGTTTTCTCCTCCGCCATATTTTAGGTTAATGGCCCACCCAACTCTGTTATCAAAATTATCCAAGTTTCCCAGTCATAAATATGACTCCAGACCATTCATGTCCATTTTCCAACAAGGAAACTTGTAACTACTATAATTCAGAGGGAAGCATTTAAATTTGTGCTCACATTTAACGCTGCTCCTCAAAATCTTGCGGGTTTTAGGATCACACAGATTTTGCTTGTGTTAAAGCTGGTTTGCGTTGTTCACCGACAGAAAGGTGCTTGGTTTAAAAGTGACGTCTGTGTTAGGGTGACCATACATGCCATTTTCCCAGGACACGTCCTTGCCAGGATTTGTTTTGGCTTTGTTTTTTCCTGTTTTCATGCTTGCTGAAGGTAATGATCGAAAAGTAGTTTGACCAATAACATGCAGGCATTGTACATAATGGACCAATCATGGTGTGTGTGAGAAGGTGGGATCTACGGTCAAAGCGATGCAATTACGCGTACATAGGATGTGTGTTCGACTTAAAAGCAGCGCGGCTCAGATCGATCAGTGTTTGACATCAAAGTACCTCGAGAGCATTTTGAAAGCATAAGGAACCATCTGTATGGTATTTTGATGTCATACACCGATCGGTCTGCACACGCAAACAAAGCCAAAACCTAGATATTTTAGGCAATATAGAAATCCTGGCCAGGACACGTCCAGGGAAAATGGCACATATGGTCACCCTAGTCTGTGTCTGCTGCACTTCATATATTTTTACACCATTGACAATTAAACTTTTTGCCCACGATGTGTGACCACACCTTCAGGGCAGTTCATGGATTGACCTAAAAATCTTTACCAGTCCAGATGTTTATTAGAACCACTAAACCACCCAGCCAGACTTCACTACCATACACACCTCGATGACACCATCAGGCTCCATTCCTTCAGGCCCCCCATGGTCTCGATCTGGTGAGCTAAAAGAAAATACAGCATAAGTACATGAAGTTACTAAAATGACAGTATTACAAACTCGACCCTTCACGAAACGCGCGTGCAAGCCACGTGGACGACCGTTAACAATCAAAGCGGTAAATAAACACTTTAGTCAATAATTGCTCGTGTTCAGTGTAAATGACTCAGTCATGGTCTCACTTCAAGCCTACGACCAAATTTAGTCCAACTTATTTACAGTAGAAACACCTTGTCATCTTTAATGTGTGAAAAGCGGTTTCTACTAACGTTACCCGTAATTGTTGTATATTACCAATTATTTATCTCCTGATAATGAAACGGCTATAAAAAAAATAAAAAAAACCTACAACTTTACAAAATATAGGAACAAGATTTTAAGGTAGTGAAGGCGACGTGAATGCAAGGCCTCAAGCATGGAGGCCACGCGTTAGATTTCAGGGTGGGCGTGAAGACTAGTTAACGTTCGTCGTTTCGATCCTTAACAACGCCACTTATTTGGGGAAAAAAAAAAAAAAAGTATAAAAATAACCAATTTAGCCATAGATGGACGTGAACGAGAAATACGTGAGAGTACACGTAGCATACGCAGCTAACAGGCGTTAGTTAGCTGCGCGGCCTATCACACGCGCCATGTCAAAATCCACAGCACCGGTGATATAATTAGCCCGACGCCTTTCTAATTCAACAAGATACACATTTACGGAAAGCATCTAACATAAAATGAATGCGGGTTACGTGTCATAAAGATTTTACCTGTTGTAATCAGCAGAACCGCTAGACATGGTCCGTTCGCGACTTCGGCATTCACTCGGAAAGGAAGAACATGTGAATCTCTGGCGTTTTTATGTAACCGGAACTTCTTTTTGTACATGTAGAGTAAAACTGTATAAACACTTAGACAGCTACATGCGATTGACATTTTATATAATCGCGACTAGAGGTGTAATGCGAGTTAAATACATGTTAATTTTATGAGTGTTTATCTTTGTTATGTCGAAGTTTACATGGGACTATATTGAGAAGCGCAAGGATATTGCACCACTGATAGGGAGTAGTTGAGTCGCGAGTCCAGCCCGGGGTCGTCACATGTGATTGCCGCAAGCCGGCCGGCCGCTCCTTTGTCGAATATGCCGGCCGCCGCTCACTCTAGGCCGCCGTGTGTGACGCTGTGTTTCGTTGTGAAAGAGAAACTACTTTGTTTGGCCTTCCAAAAGAGGAAGATATCTGCTTCGTCATGCCTGGAGCTGATCCATGCTGGTCGCTGCGGAAATGCAAGGATATTGCACCACTGATAGGGAGTAGTTGAGTCGCTACGGGGTCTCCACCACTGATCTATATATATATGACTTGATCAGTGCTCTCCACACTTCTGGCCTTAAAGGGATAGTTCTCCCAAAAATGACAATTCTGTCATTAATTACTCACCCTCATGTCGTTCCAAACCCGTAAGACCTCCGTTCATCTTCGGAACACAAATTAAGATATTTTTGAAGGAATCTGAGAGCTCTCTGGCCCCCCCCCCATAGACAACAATGTAATTACCACGATCAATGTCCAGAAACATAGCAAGGAGATTGGTAAAATAATCCATGTGAACGACTTTATTCAACAATTCGTCTCCTCCGCGTCACCCTGGAGAGTATCCACTGACCGCAAACAGCGTATGTTGTTCTGTGTCAGCTGCGCCACGTGGATACGTTGTTTTCGTTCAAATCAAAGCACAAACAATGTAGAAAACGTGACGCGGAGGAGACGAATTGTTGAATAGAGTAGTTTTTTTTTCTTTGCGTACAAAAAGTATTCTCGTAGCTTCGTAATATTACGGTTGAACCCCTGATGTCACATGGATTATTTTACCGATCTCCTTGCTACGTTTCTGGACGTTGATCGTGGTAGTACCCTTGCTGTCTATGGGAGGGTCAGAGAGCTGTCAGAATGCATCAAAAATATCTTAATTTGTGTTTCGAAGATGAACGGAGGTCTTACGGGTTTGGAACGACATGAGGGTGAGTAATTAATGACAGAATTTTCATTTTTGGGTGAACTATCCCTTTAAAATGGGCCTGACTTAAAGTGACAGATCACCTTAACATTAAAGTTCTGTTTTAGTTCATTTACCCTCATGTTGTTCTAAACCTGTATGAAAAAAAAAAGATGACTGAGGCAGTCCAGGTCTGAAAAATATTTGAGGGCAAATAATGAAAACGTTTTGTGTGTGAACTATTCCTTTTAGTCCACCGTATACTGCTTTTTTTCTGTCTTTTTTTTTCTTTTCCTATGCATAAAACCACTAGACCCATTTTATCATTTAAAACCTAAAAATATTTCACTTGTGTATGTCTCTATTGCTGGAAATTATTGGATTAGTTGGATTACAATAGCCCCACCACTCCATAAAGATGTCATGGACAATAAAAGTGCATTAATCAGTGAATTTTTGTGATGTGATAAAAATTGAAAAATAAATAAATAAACCAACAACATTTACTGGTACAACATAACTTGCTCCATTAGTTTGGAAAATATTTTGAATTGAATTAGTTTGAAATAATGATGTTATGTTTTAAATCTGATTAAAAGAAAAGTTAGGGAGAATGTAGTTTGTTATTTGGATAACGGTAATTAGTAACATATAAATGGAACATTTATGTTACAGAGTTTCCATATCTTTTGACCAATGATTATTATTTTTTTTTTTTGTGGTTACTGGATTTTACAAATTGTCATGTATCATAATATTGATGGGTCTTATTTATTTAATATTTATAATTATTTGTATTTATAGATAATGTAAGCATTTTTAAATATTTTAGAGATACAAAATATTAACTGACTTTTACTGACTTTGACTTTTAACATTGTATTAATTAAATTACTTTTCCAATTATGGAAATCGAAAAATAAATAAATAAACCAACAACATTTACTGGTACAACATAACTTGCTCCATTAGTTTGGAAAATATTTTGAATTGAATTAGTTTGAAATAATGATGTTATGTTTTAAATCTGATTAAAAGAAAAGTTAGGGAGAATGTAGTTTGTTATTTGGATAACGGTAATTAGTAACATATAAATGGAACATTTATGTTACAGAGTTTCCATATCTTTTGACCAATGATTATTATTTTTTTTTTTTGTGGTTACTGGATTTTACAAATTGTCATGTATCATAATATTGATGGGTCTTATTTATTTAATATTTATAATTATTTGTATTTATAGATAATGTAAGCATTTTTAAATATTTTAGAGACACAAAATATTAACTGACTTTTACTGACTTTGACTTTTAACATTGTATTAATTTAAATTACTTTTCCAATTATGGAAATCTCAATTTCAAAGTTAAAAAAAAAATATATATATATTATAGATATTATAGATGTTATACATTTAGTTCAGTAGCCTGTTTATAGAATATTCTGTTTATTCAACTCAATATAATATTACATTTCCTTTTCACATTGGTGGACGTTAGATTGACCTTTTACAGGTTGCTGTTTCTGAAAATAGTATTTCGTAAATGAACCGATGCTATGGCAAACAGCTGACTGCGGTACAAGTGTCACTGCGCATGAGCGGAAGTAGGTGCAAGGCAGAGAGGGATAGCGGAAGAGGGAGTCTGGAAATCACAAACATGGTAAATGTGAAAAAAACGAACACAATTGTTTTACTAATGTGCGTTACAGTCACAAAATACCCATAAACCGCTACGACGAATCCCGTTTAGTTATTAGGCTGTTTTGACGACGACGTTCCTTTAAACTTACCTAGCAGGAGAGTGAGTATTGATGAATTAACTGGTAGACAGCTAACTTATACAGAGCAGGTAGCTTTGAGGCGAGCGAGGTCAAAGCTGTCGGACAGCAGGGCTGTAAAATTCGTTTTACAAATGAGAAGCCGAACTAATGGGCCACAGGATTATTTGTTTGTTTATCGGTTACAAAACCTTATGCAAACAGTTTAAAAAGCTGCTGAAAAGCAGTCATGTATGAAATCTTCGTGGTATTTAACTTATATTCATACTTTTTAGTATAGAGCAAAAAAAATATTTCTATTACTGGTCATTGAATAATATTTTGTTGTCAATATGCCATTGTGATACTGATTCTTAAAGGGGTCATATGATGCGATTTCAATTTTTCCTTTCTCTTTGGAGTGCTACAAGCTCTTGGTGCATAAAGAAGATCTGTAAAGTTGCAAAGACTAAAGTCTCAAATCCAAAGAGATATTCTTTATAAAAGTTAAGAGTCAGCCACACCTACCTAAAACGGCTCGTTCTAACACACCCCCACATGTCTACGTTACTATGTGGGAAGATT